TATTTGATTTACAAATAAGGAATCCTACTTCGCGGAATTTCATTTATCACGGTAGGGTCTAGAACCGATTAACCGCCATAAACGAGGGTTCACTGTACACTACTAGGGCTCCTTTTGGCAGTTAATAACAAATTATAATTTGTTAAATTCAGCTTTGCTGGAGTTCTTATAATATTTCGTGGTTTACTGTTACCATTCATTTGGGCAATATGAATTCTAACATGGTATCACAGGATTCAAATGCCTCAATATTACCAACTACTTTGTTCTATGGCCTTTAGTAAAACTCTTGACTTTGTCAATCATTAAATCCTTAAATGATTTAATCAATCATTTAAACATTTACTGAATGCCCACTGTATGTCATTCACAGACAAAATGAAAAGGTCTTTAGTGGGGAGCAGGGAGGGAGGGGAAAAATGAGGACCTGATGCCAGCCAGGGGCTTAAGTGGAGAGAAAATGTTTTGAGAAAGATGAGGGCAATGAATGTACAAATGTGCTTTCATAATTGATGTAAGTATGGTGTGATAAGAGTTGTATGAGCCCCTAATAAAATGATTAAAAAAAAAGAAAAGGTCTTTATACAAAGAAAAAAACATTTTAAGATACAACAGAAAAACCAATACCTTTCTAATCTGTGTAGGATAACAATACTGTCTACTGAATGGAGTTGGTGAGAAAATAATAACATAAGCACTTAACTATTAATGTTTTTTAAAGGGCTTTGTAAGTTGCAGAGCCTTATGTAAATATTAGTTGCTACTTTGATTCTAATACTAGTTCCTGAAAAATATTGTAATAACTATTTTTTCAAAGAAGTTTTTCTAATTTTTCTTTTGGAACAAACCAAGAAGCTTATAACTGGTTCAAACTGTAAGCCTGCTTCCCAATTATAAATTTGGACTGTGGATACTTTTTCTTTATTTTAACAAATTGATATATAATTGAAATACACTGAAATTCATCTCTTTAAATGCTAGTCAGTAGTTTTTTTTTTTAATACAT